TTTTCCTGTACGCATACTTCAGTAGCGGGGGGGGGGGGAGTTGCTCTTGTAATTTCTGGAAGGAACCAGGAAATTGTTTTTGCTCTGTGTTCCTTCAGCATTTGCAGTTCCAATGTTTACTCCAGTCCAGTTTCTAGCATGCTCACTGTGTATAGATAGCATCGTACAGTTCTACTGGAGTGATCCTGATTCCATTCCCAGGGGCCATCATTCCACTTTGGGGGTGTCGAGCCAGTCCCAGAACGCTGGTTCCATGACCATTTGGGGGGGGGGGGCTTTCCTTCCAGTTGCAAAGCAGTTTCCTTTCCATCCATTCCACATTTTCTTGGCAAGTCTTGTGCTTGTGGTGGCTGGATTAGGGTCTGGGAGCGCTTGAGAGACCAGTGAGATTTTCGGGGTAGAAGCGTTCACGAGTCGGAGCTCCCCTCCATCCCACACTTCGTCTGGGCAGCTCACACACCCTGAAATGTCTTGTGGGTCTCTCGGGTTGCCTTGCGTCCGGCTGTTCGACTGCAGACCAACAGGGCTCCCCTCTGGAACTGTGTGCTGCTGCTTTGCGTCCGGCTGTTCGACTGCAGACCAACAGGGCTCCCCTCTGGAACTGTGTGCTGCTGCTTTGGTGTCGGGGTTGAGAGCAGCAGGAGTCTCATCTGGGAGAACCAGGTTTGATTCCCCACTCCTCCTCCACATGCAGTCAGCTGGGTGACCTTGAGTCAGTCACAGTTCTCTCAGAGCTGTGTTCCCTCAAGGGCTGTCCTCGAAAGAGTTCTCTCAGCCCCACCTACCTCACAGGGCGCCTCCTGTGGGGAGAGGAAGGGAAGGAGATTGTAAGCTGCTCTGAGACGCCTTCAGGTAGTGAAGGGCCGGGTATAAAAAGCAACTCTTCTTCTTCTTCACCTTCTCCTTCTTCTCCTTCTCCTCCTTCTTCTTCTGTATTTCGACGGAGGCCATGCAGACCAAATGGCATCCCTGGCTCCCGTTGTCTCCCATGGGACTTCAGGCATCTCCCATTGCTCCCAGGAGGCATTCTTATCGTTTGTTTTCGTACATCTCCCCGAGGAGTCTGCAATGTCATACCTCAGCCCCGGCCAACCTCCAGGGGGTGGCTGGAGACCTCCCGTGATGGCAACTGACCTCCAGGCCACAGGGATCCGTTTCCCTGGGGGAAAGGGGGGGGCTGCTCTGGAAGGGGGATTCTGTGACACCACGACACCCCCTCCCCACACACACACACACTGAAGTCCCCTCCCCTCCCCAAACCCCGCCCTCCCCAGAATCCACCCCCAAAAAACTCTCCAGGGATTTCCCAACCTGAAGCTGGCAGCACTATTCAAATTCACTGGAATTCACTGGAATTCACGGCCACAGGAGGTGGTGGCAGCTACAAGCATGGACGGCTTCAAGAGGGAATCGGATAAACATGTGGAGCAGAGGTCCATCAGTGGCTCTTAGCCACAAGGGATAGAGAGGGGCTCTTCAGTCTGGGGCAAGGGATGCTCTGTCTTCTTGGTGCTTGGGGGGGGAAGAGTGGGAGGGCTCCTGGTGTCCTGGCCCCACTGGTGGACTTCATGATGGCCCCTGGTATTTCTGGCCACTGTGTGACACAGAGTGTTGGACTGGATGGGCCTTTGGCCTGATCCAACATTGGCATCTCTTATTTATATTATTTATTTAACTATAAAAGTACAAGATGGAATTCTAAAATTATTAACCAACAACAGTAATAACAATAAATATAGCAGCAACAATATACGTCCATACAGCGTTGACCTCTGCCAAGCACGTCGCGCACCCCCAGTAGTCCCCACTCTAAGGATGGTCAATTTGCGGGGCTAGCGAGGGGGGCGTAGATAGAATGATGGTAACATAATGGTGATGGCATAATGAAGGTAGTGGCGGCGGAGCAGAGGTCCATCAGTGGCTATTATCCACAAGGGATAGATAGGAACTCTCGGTCTGGGGCAAGGGATGCTCTGTCTTCTGGGTGCTTGGGGGGGGCGTAACAGTGGGAGGGCTTCTAGTGTCCTGGCCCCACTGCTGGACCTCCTGATGGCCCCTGGTATTTCTGGCCACTGTGTGACACAGAGTGTTGGACTGGATGGGCCACTGGCCTGATCCAACACTGGCGTCTCTTATGTTCTTATGGATAAACATATGGAGCAGAAGTCCATCAGTGGCTATTATCCACAAGGTATAGATAGGAACTCTCGGTCTGGGGCAAGTGATGCTCTGTCTTCTTGGTGCTTGGGGGGGGGACAGTGGGAGGGCTTCTAGTGTCCTGGCCCCACTGCTGGACCTCCAGATGGCACCTGGTATTTCTGGCCACCGTGTGACAGAGTGTTGGACTGAATGGGCCATTGGCCTGATCCAACACTGGCTTCTCTTATGTTCTTCTGTTCTTTTGTACCTGGCCCCCATGAAGCCACAGAGGAGAGCACAGCCCACCCCTCCCCCCTCCCCCCACAGGGACTTTGCAGGCCCTCCCCTGGCCCCAACACTGGCTAACCTCAAGGAGGTTATACCCCACCCCAACTGCATGCCTCCCCAGAGAGACAAAATCCCACCCTAGCCTATCTGCCCACGGTGACATGCGCAGAGCAAAACCCCTGCTCCTCCCCTCCCCTCATACATTCTCGCTGAGAAGAGTTAGGGTTGCCAGCCCCCCCCCCCCCCCCACTGACAGGGAGGTTGGGTTGCCAGATGCAGGCTGGGAAACTCCTGGAGATTTGGGAGTGGAGCCAGGCGAGAACAGGGACCTCAGTGGAGTACCCATGCCCACAGAGAGTCCACCCCCCCCTCCCAAAGCAGCCATTATCTCCAGGAAGAGCTGTGATTCCTGGGGATCTCCAGGCCCCCCACTTGAGGCTGGCATCCATAGGAGAAGGGAAAACCTAGAGGAGGTTGCATTTGCAAAAGGCAGAAGGTCGTTCCGTGGCACTGGCAAGCCCCGGTTACTGCCTCTGGGAGGAGGGGGCAGCCTTCTGCTGGCGGAGCCAGAGACATGCCCGCAGCCAGTCCCCAGTCCCACAGATACCCCCAACAGATACCTCCATCGCTGTCTGCAACAGAACCCGATGTCTCCCCCCCCCGGGGCCACACCCAGTCCCATGACTGCCCCACTGGTGTGTGGACCTGCCTCTTTGGTGGCCCATTGCCCGATGGTCCAGGCCCAGCTCTAGGCTCTCTGTGGAGTGAGCTCTTGACAGAAACTGCTCTTCTTCAAGGACAGCTCTTATTAGAACTGTGGTTTGCCGAAGGTCGTCCAGCCAGGTGCAAGTGGAGGAGGAGTGGGGAATCAAACCTGGTTCTCCCAGATTAGAGTCCTCTGTGCCCTTAACCACGACACCAAACTGGCTCTCAGCCCCATCCCTGCTGATGGGCCAGCCCAGCGAGGGGCACGGGAGGGTGTGTGATGGGCCTTTGCCACATGGAGCCTGGGGCAGTCAGCACCACAGCTGGGTGCACGATGCAGGGCCAAGCAGACAGGCAGCCTTCCTCCCCCCACTGGCAACTGGTCCAGGCCACCGGGGGCCATCCCCGCTGCTTCCTGCCACCCTTCCGGCTTGGTGGCGGCCCCCGCTGGCTCCCCATGCCCAGGTGACAGGGCAGCATGTAAGTTTGGCCCCCTCGGCCCTGACCAGTGTGGTGTCCACACTGCCCCTTCCCTATGTGGCCCATCTGCCCCAAGGGGGCCCTTCCTCCCTGTTCCCAAATAAGGCCTCTCCGCAACTCTGCCCCACCGCAGCAACACAGACCGTGCACAGGCAGAAGGAACCTCGGTGAGTGTGCCTGCCTTGCCACTCCCCCAGCCAGGAGGACCCCCTTTCCGGGAGCAAAAGGGAAGACCAAGCCCGCCCTCAGCGAGGAGGGGTCCACGCAGGACTATGGCCCACTGGGAGTTGTGGGGCTGAGTGGGCCACCGCTGCAGGACCTCATTGCCCTCCGCTCCTCGTCAGCTGGAGCCGGCCGTGGATCAGAATGGTTCGCGGAGGGGGGTACCAGCCCCAGACCTGGGCATGGAGCTGCCCTCCCCCACCTCGGTAGTCCAGCCCGTTGAGGGTGAGCGTGTGCCATGTGGGTGCCAGGGCGGGGGGGGGGCACTGGCCAGCCCTGCCCCGTCCTGCCAGCCACAGGTTGTCCAGCAGCCGGCTTCTGTACTGTGTTCACTGGCCTGCAGCCTGGCTAATGTGTGGGAGGACTGGGCGGGCATCGATCTGCCCTTTCAGACCAAAGTCCTTCGTGGCATTATGCTCCAGTGCGGACCACTCCCCACCAAGATGTGCTACAAAACCTGCTAAATGTGACAAGGACAGTTTTTGTACATTACTGGAAGTCTCCGTCTATGCCAAACAAAAAAGAATGGCCAATAAAAATTTGGGATGCAGGAACAATGGCGACATTGACTGAACTAAAACTTTCTGAAGAAATAAAATGTCAGGAACATTAGCCAGCTCCAGATGCTCTGGGATACTGGAAAGGTGCATAACTTGTAGATATTGATACTTTTCACTTATCTGTATTTAAGGACAGATGTCATCTTAAAATCTGTGTTGTTTCCCTTTAAACAAAAGAGCAGGCAGAGCTGGCCGCATGAGGGAGTTCCCGGATAGGAAGGCAGAGGTGCGGCACCAGATGCCGGCTATGCTAACATTGCCTGCCACACACCTACTGGAAGATGGACGGAGTCCAGAAAGCGGAGGATCGTACACTTTACAAACAGCAAGGAACTTCTTGCTTGAACTTTCTAGGGCAGAGTCAGCACCGCAGAGAGAGCGGCAGGAATTCCGGCTGTGAGCAGTGTGACATTTTAGAGAGAAATTATACAATGAAAACCAGCAAAAAGGTTGGGGGCCCCTGAGTTATGTGTTGGTTTGTCTTCTGACGGCTGCAAGGGTGTGTATCACACAAAATGCACAATGGCAGGTCTACCTGCTGGTTCAGGAAAGCCTAGGCACTTACCATTCAGATGGAAAATAACACACAAGATAAAGTTATGGGAAATTAATTTATAACACGCAGCAATGACAGATTTTGGAATAACATACAGATACTACCATTTGTCTATGTTGCTTTGATCTAGTGGTACTGTGAATATTTTGTTAATTTTTTAAAGCACTAATAATACAACAAATGCAAATGAAACAAAGACGTGTTTGTGTGTGTGCGTGTGTGTGTGTGTGTGTGTGTGTGTAAGTGCCGTCAATTCACTTCCCAGTTATGAAGATCCGGTGAATGAATTACCTACTGCCTCTACCATCCACCGCTCAGGGGCCTTGCGCATGGAGGGGGGCCCCTCGTGGCTCCCCTGGCGGAGCCCACCCGCCTCCTGAGGCTGGGTCTCCCCTCTTCTCCTGCTGCCTCCCACTTTTCCTAGCGTGATGGCCTTTTCCAGTGAAGCGGTGCATAAGGGAAGGGGATTCTCATACATCCGGCCATCTCTCACTCAGTCCTCTGAGCCAGGCGCAGTGTTTCCCTCTGTGGAGGGTCCCTGGTGGGCAGGGAGTGTGCGAAGGCCCAGGGGGCGCTGTGACCTCATGGGGCAGCAGGCGCATTTCCAGTAGGGCCGCCATGAGAAACGTTCAGCAGCAAAATAGTAGACCAGAGGGTCGAGGCAGGCATTGAGACTGGTGAGCGCCATGGTCACACGCCGGGCGACATACGTGGCCCGGATGAGGGAGCAGCCACCCAGAGCACCCACACGGCCAAGCGTGTGGACCAGCTGCACCACGTGGTAAGGAACAAAGCAGACCAGAAAGACGCCGAACACCACCAGCACCGTCCGCAGCGCCTTGCGCCTCACAGCACGGGAACCAGGCTGCATCCCTGGCGTTGCCAGCAGCCGCCAAGCGATTAGCGGGTAGCACACCCCAATCAGTAAAAGGGGCAACAGGAAGCCGACCACCGCAGCAAAGATGCTCACCCCGGAAATGCGCCCCTTCCAAGACCTGGAGGAGAAGTTCTCGAGGCAGGCTGTGCGGCCGTCAGCAAAGGGGCTGGTCAGGGGCCCACGGAGGGCCAGGTAGAGGGTGGCTGCCAAGAGCACTGCCCACACCACCAGCGCAGCCCCCACACGGTAGCGCAGCTGGCGGAAGTGCAAGTGCCGCAGCGGGTGCACCACTGCCACGTAGCGCTCCAGGCAGATGCAGGCCAGGAAGAGGGAGCTGCCATACAGGTTGGCAAAGAACAGGCAGCCGGTGATTTTGCAGAGAGCTTCCCCGAAGACCCAGTCATTGTGCAGCGCATGGTAGGCAATGCGGAACGGCAGGGTCAACACAAAGAGCAAGTCGATGGTGGCCAGGTTCACCAGAAAGACGTTGGCCGGGGCCGTGGCTGACTTGGTCCAAAAGAAGTAGCCCAGCACAAAGGAGTTCCCCGCCAGGCCCAGCACAAAGACCAGGCTGTAGATGACAGGGAAGAGGACGTACTGGAAGTCGGCGCTCTCCGAACAGTTAGAGATGCTCTGGCTACTGTTCCACATGGAGCCACGGAGATGCAGCACTGACAGTGCTGCGGGCAGCAGGTAGCTGAAAATGAATTCGACACACACACACTTCAGCCTCTTTACGACATTCGGTTTGGATCTCGAATCAAGGCTCCCTCCAGCACCACCCCAGGTTAGGTTCCCTCCACATTCGAGCCACTGTGAGACGCAGCCCCACCACCACCACCAAAACGAGCCGGGCTGATGATCTAAGAAGGGCACCGGCCGGGCACGACACACAAAGCCTCCCCTTGGACCTTGACTGCCCTTCAGTGTCCAGCAACCAGCAGGACTTTGCCTCCTTGCATGGGTGCAAGACAGCTGCAGTCTTCTACCATGTTTCCCACCAGGATGGCAGCCAGAAAGAATGTGAGGCCTCAGCTGAGAATGAGCAGAAAGAAGTTTGTTCTCTGTTTGGTACAGAGTTTAGTTCCTCCTGATGTTTTTGTGTTCCTTCTCCTCTTTAAACGGGCACTTAATTTTACACAATACATCTTATCCTGCTCTTTTCCCCAGGACTTCAGAGCCCAAACCAAGGACATAAGGACACAAGAAGAGCCCTGCTGGATCAGACCAGCAGTCCATCCAGTCCAGCATATCCTGTCTCGCACAGAGGCCAGCCAGTTCCTCTGGACAGTCAACAACAAGGCACAGAGGCCAAGGCCTTCCTCTGATGTTGCCGCCTGGCTCTGGGATTCAGAGAATTAGGGACTCTGAATGTGGAGGTTCCCCACAGCCACCATGTCTAGTAGACATTGATAGATTTATCCTCCATAAATCTCTGTAATCTCCCTTTAAAGATGTTTATTCCTGTGGCCATCACTACAATATGAACATAAGAAGACACTTAATTATAAACAAACCTCACCATTGAGGGACAGGAAGAAGAGAAGGAGGAGGAGGAGATTGGATTTATACCCCGCCCTTCACTACCTGAAGGAGAGGCACACAATCTCCTTTCCCTTCCCCTCCACCCCCAACAGACACCCTGTGAGGTAGGCGGGGCTAAGGGGACTGGTTGTAGGCAAGCCTTTGAGTTATTTTAGGATAAAACTAGGACATGTAGGCTTGGGAAGAGATGGGAAAAGAGCAAGTTTGACTAGATTTCTGCTGACCTGATATCTATATCACTATTTGCTGCTGTGCTCCTTCAAGTATTCAAGTATTTGAAGGGCTGTCAT